TATGATGGTAAATGTGTGGTTGAAAAAGAAGAAAAAAGTATTGATGTGATGGAAAATATTATTTTATTGAAGAATGTGTGGTTGAAAATGAGAATTGATTTACTGTAGAAAATGAAAATCTGTACTAAACAAGCCCTAACTCTTGGCCCTCAAATCCCCTGCTTAAAGGGAATCTTGATTGCATCACCATTTTTCAAGTTTATGTTTTTTCTTTTTTTTTTTTTTTATAAACTTCATCTTGTTGAAGGCATTTGATTCCAAGCTGAACTTTTCACAGCCAAGGTTGGATCCCGAACGACAAAGTTCTTGTGTGTTCTCCGGACATATAATTAGTTTCGAAGAGACTACAACACTCGAGCAGCACTAAGGGCTCCTTCATGATGCTAACGAGTTGTCATGTGATATTCCGATGCAAACAAGATTAGATTATTCCTAACGAATAACGAAACTGATACAAGCAAATCAAAAATAATGCAGAACTATATTATAAATTTCTTCCAAGTAAGATCTTGACTCTTTGTTCTTGAAAAGGGTCTCTTGATAATTAATATTTAAAATACAATGATCAAATATCACTTTTTATAATAGTATGGTACTGTTTGGTACAGTTCAAAATCCAATTAAAATTAAAAATATAATCGTTATTGGGTCCCACTCATCTAATAAAAGTCATCAATAACGGTTAGTTTTTCAATTTTAATTCTATTTTAATCTCTACCAAACACCATCTAAAAATTACAAGAACATTACACCAAAAAATAAATAAATAAATTATTTTATCTTCTCCCGTCGAGGCCTGCGGCTCTTGGGAGCTATTTTGGCATGAAATATGAAACACGTTATTTGCGTTTTTGTCCAAACAATCTACTTTATCACAACTATTTAAGATTTTGTTGAAAGAGACTAAAAGTCGAAGTCAATATCATGATGGTGGGACCTAGGAGAAAGCCGAAGTAATCAGCAAGTGAGAATTTTCCTGATTATTTCCTGCTTTATTAAATAATTAAATTAAATTAAAATATAAATAAATTATGTTCCAGTGAACCCCACAATTGAAAGACTCTCATAAGCAACTATTTTGTAGGGTAAATAGTTAATACCGCGTTTTTATTTCATAGCTATTTAGCCATTGTTTGGTTATATATTTTTTTTTGGAGAAATATTATTTTAAATAGTGAATTTTTAGAAAATATGTAATTAAAAAGTAAAAAAATAAAATTGAATTTACATGTAAAATATTTTATTGTGTGAATATATGATTGAAAATATGTCTGTAGAAAAAAGAGTTTTGAAAGAATGAAAGACGAATGATAAAAAATAGACTTTTCGTAATTTTTAATAAAAATTGATAACAAGTGGATGATAAGTAGTGAATTTTATGAAATATATAATTAAAATTAATTGTAGACTTGACTTAAAATTTAATCCATTTTTTAGCTGAACCAAACATGGACTTATATGGTAAAGTACAATAGCTATCATTCTAACAAAGTAATGAACACGTTGAATCATGTAACATTAGTTGAGAGCGTTTAATGAATAAAAATTAATGAGGAAAGAATGAATAATTACAAAAGGTTTTAAGACACGCTTTCAAAAATAAGAAACTTGTAAAGAAGTTTAAAAAATCAGGTGATTACATTTGTGACCACCTAATAATATGTCAATGTCATGATAATACAAAAATTATGGTTACAATCATAAAGACACAAATTGCGAAAGATCTTATATTATTTATTGATCACAAATATCAATTTTATCGATCACATATTATCCATTTTATTGGTCATGATCATCCAAATAATTGATCACAAATAATCTTCATCCCACTCCACCACCGCATTGCAACCACCACCACCACCACCACCACCACCACCATCTGCAAACAACCTTTACAATTTCATAAATTGTACTAAAGACCCCATCCCCAAATCCTCATCCAAACCCTAATTTCTCCATTTTTCTCTTACCACATCTGGCGATAGGAGGTGCATCGAGAACAGTTTTGTTACAACAGCAGTGTTGGGGAAATGGTGGTACATGGTGGCGACGGTTGGTGAGTGGGGTGAGATACACCTAATTTTTGAAAGAAAAAATACTTACACTTACTTTTGAAATAATAAACTAAGAAGTAGGTGTTGGTGTAATTTCCATAATGAATAATAAGTTGTCAATCCATGAAAATAAAAAAGTACAATTTACAGTTTGCCAAACATGAAGTCACACTTCTCTACCAAAACAAGATTAGTTGAAAATAAATTGACCCCAGCCGTGTT